TTTGCCATCTTTAAAACTCTTAATTTCCTTTCTGGGTGGTCTGAATTTGGTAAAAATTGTTTCGAGGAGGATAAAAACAAAGAAAAATGCTTAAATAAAGCAGCCCAAAGCTCGGAGCTGAGAAAAAAAGTCAATATAAGATGCTAAAAGTGCTGTTTTTTGTGTGTTTTTTAAGCATTTTTGCTAGCTTTAAGACTCCTAATTTCCTTTCTGGGAGGTCTGAATTTGGTAAAAATGGATCGGAGGAGGATAAAAACAAAGCAAAATGCTTAAATAAATAAATAAATATAAAGCAGCCCAAAGATTTCTCGATTCAGAGAGAATCTGAACCAGATTTGGAGTCCCGGAGAGCTCTGCCTTTCCTTCTGAATCCCCCCAAAACAGCCAGTGACCCCCCCCCCAGCAAACAGCTACGTCTTACTTCCTGCTGTTGAAGCTGCTGTTATGATTGTTTGTGAGAGATGAAGGCGAGATCTTTGGCAAAGCAGAGAGATTGGAAGCGCCAGATGACCTTAAGAAAGATAAAGAATAGATCATGAGTTAGAGCGGAAAACAGGGAGAGAGGCCCCCGTCAAACCAAACCAAACCAAACCCCCCCACAGAAACCAATGGAGTGGTATGCCAGCAAATAAAGGGCGAGCAAAAGGAGGCGGCCTGAGGCGGACCCCCCCCCCCCCCCAGAGGAGGTGAGCTCCTCCTGGATATTTCGGGGTACTCACTTGGGGGCCGTGGATCCTCGGGGCCACGTTCCGTCTTCGTTTTTCTGCTCTATTACCAGAACCTGCAAAATAAGGCAGAAAAAGGAGGATTAATCTGATGCTAAATGGGGAAAAACCTGCAGGAAAACCACTCCGTCTGGAGCCAACAGTCAGGGGTGAATCGTTTTTTTTGGGTTGTCAAAAGTATTGATTCTAAAACGTTGTGTCAGGATACGATACTCATTTTCAAAAGTATCGATACCACGAAGCTTATTATCTTTATTTATTTATTTACGTTGTATATGATCGTTAACTGACGTTAGGTTTGAATTGATACCTGCGGCTAATGGCTAATAATAACACGCTAACATTAATCAAGTACTGCAGGAAGCCAAGGACGGAGATCCAACTCCCCCACATCCAAGTCGGCCATTTTGATTAGGTCACCAATAGGAAGATCCCAGGCAAGAAAACGATAGTTGCTTCATGGCAATATAGACATTCATTTAAAAATAGTTAAATTAATCTTGCAAACACTGAATTAAACTCTATCCATAATATTATGTTAAAATAGGTTTGTACAATAAGTCCAAGCAATTTTAACCAAAAAATATTTATTTCACACAATTATGAAGGGTGGAGGGTTAGGGTCAGGGTCAGGGTTAGGGTTAGGGTTAGGGTCATTAATGTGGGCCACCATAACATCAGTAACAGGTCAGTTTTAAACCAAAGACACTAACCTGTCAAAACTCAGTTACATTTTGGGGTCTTTGATTTTATCCTTGTGGTATCGAAAATGGTATCGAGTATCGTGACAACCCTAGCTCTAAGGGGCCGATCTGAGGGGTTCCAGCGGGTTTTGGGGCCCCTGAGCTGTTCCCACCTGTCCCTGGTAGAGGCCGGCGTCCTGAATGGTGCTGTCGGGTTTGTTGAGAGGCTCGAAGGTGTTGCTCATGTAGCGGTTCCACAGCCGCGTCTCCTTCTCGTCCGGGATGCTGAACAGCTTCCGCATCTCCTTCTCGATCAAATCTGAAAGGACAGGATGGGACATTAGAGGCTCAGGCTCAACATCTCCATCTTTAGTCTGAGATGAGAGAGGAGTGGTTTTATTTATTCTGGTTTATTCAGAGGAAACTCAGACGGATAGACGGGAGCTCAGAGTCCAGGAGGCAAAGACATGAAGTCTTGTGATTCATATCCGAACTAGGCTGGTCCTGATCCGTCGATATTCGCAAAAAACTGCAAAGAACTGCGTAAAACTGCAAGAAAATGCCAATCCAGAGTTCCTATCCAGTTTTTTTTAAAGTCCGATCCCACACGAGCATTAGCGTTAGCATTAGCATCTCCTGACCCACAGGTCTGTGTCCTAACCATTAAGTTGTTATCAGAGTAAATCCCTGTTCAACACGAGTCTGACAACTAAGTAAGTAGATAAATAACTTTACACTTTAATACATGCTCTGATAGGCCGGGATTGGTATTGGAAGTGCAAAAAACTGGATCAGGACATCCGTAATCTGACCTTTTAGATTGTATATGTGCATGTTTGTACCTCCAAACCCACAAAAATGCTTAAAAAAAACGTTTTTTTTTTCAACAGGCTTCTCTGTCAGGAGGTTTTTCTTTACGGGGATCATCATTCTGTATTTCCCTGATAACCAATAAGATGCCAGATAGCAGCAGTGAAACTGGAGAGTGGCCAGAGATCAGCTCTAACTGCAGCTTTGCTCTGATTGGTT